TATATATATATATATATATATATATATAATTGTCTATTTATATTACATATACATTTATATCTAGATGAGCTTTATATTATATCTATAATTACTAATTATATTTACTTGGGGATTCAAGTTCTGTTTATTTTTATCAAATAGTTATATTAGTACATCATTTAAATTAAATTAAATTAATTTTAATATTTATTATGTCATTTGGTTCAATCCCATTTAAAACTTCAAACCTTAAGTCCCTCATTCCTCGGTTTAATGAAAAAATCTGGTTTTCACACACTAGCAAAATACTAGTCTTATCCAAAATTTAAATAGAATTGTGCAACTAACATCAAAATCTTCCTTTTTATAAAATTGGCACTTGTATAATTTTTTATTTTACTGTTGAACCATCAGTACATTTACATGTCTCGTGATCATAAAGTTTAAAAATTGAAAAAAAAAATAGAAAATATAGATTTAAATTTTATTGTGAATCAATATTTTAGCGGGAGTTAAGAAATTGGAAGTAGAAGAGAATTGCTCCTAGTAAATTGTCAATAATTAAATGTACCTATAAGAAATTGGCCTCCAGACAAAAAAACATGAGGCAGCAAAAAATGAATTGGCATTGTCCTCCAAAAACTAATACCAACTTAATGGTAGTGTCCTGAGGTACCCAAACTTGCAAATAGGCCTAAAAATGTAAATTGAACCTCAATAATCAACCATGCTAATGTTCGTGCACACAAATATTAGAATAATAACACAAAAGTTTGCATTATTCAACTCTCAACTTTGTCATGCTCAAGGGTGTAAATGAGCAACATATATATCACCGCACTTCTATTCATGATCAATATATTATTTTTTATTCATAGTTCATGTTCAATCATATTCAATCATCTTTGATATTCTTCTATTTGAGATGGTTCATTATTGTTAATCCTTTTCATGTTTAGCTCGCTAAGAAATCATTAAGGTTAGAGAGCAATTGTCAAGCCAAACATGAACAAACATGAACAAATAGATCAAATTAAATAATAATTCATAGTACCTTTACATCCACATAATCAACAAATAATAATAATAATAATAATAATAATAATAATAATAATAATAATAATAATAATAATAATAATAATAATAATAATAATGAAAAAAAAAATGGTTTATTTTTTATGAGTTAAGATGTCTTCAAATAACACTACTTTACACATTAATTCTATGCATGCATTATAATAGAGTAGCATTAACAACTTTCAGTTTACAAATCATATTCAAGCAAAAAATTTAAATTTTGGACAAAATAACTCGAGAGATAATATCCATGCAACTTCACCCAGTATATTTAACTTGTGAAATTTTGGAGGCACAAAATCTACAGCATAATCCGTCTTTGTTCAATTTTTATAAGAGCAACATAATCTTTAAAAATAAAGATGCATGTAAATAGCGTAGTCATTTACTCCTCACCTCAACTAATAACAAAATCAAAGCCATTCAAGTAAATCAGAGACGAATAGAGTAGAATCTTTTTAATATTAACCCATATAACAAAAGTTGCAATGCATAGAATTATAAACCTCAATATCTAACATAGTTGAAGGAGCATTGACCAAAACAAGACGAAAAAACTACACTTCAAGTAAGAAAGTTGAAAACAAATAATCTAAGCAAAATTAGATCTTACAATTTGCCACAAGACTTGAGTAGAAAACTAGGAAAGACTAAGTAGACCTCAAGCCTAATATGATGCATGCAATGCCCATTGCTTCCGCATCAAAGCATTCCATGATTTGCTTCACATAACAATATTATCTCCATCTGACAATAGCATAACAAAACTGCAAGCTAGTGCACTATAGACCTCTATAAATACCCCATTATAAAACAATGCCTATATGTCTTGGTCATGCACCTATCTACTAAAATTGCTGATATATTTGGCAACCAGCATTCACATAAGAGAAAAATTGTTTCGATAGAGCTCATACAGCCTTGTCCAAGAATCTGCATCTTTCACCGCGAGTCTTGATAATGTTTCCCAAAATTAGGTTTTGCAATATAATTCTTCCTAAGCTCATAAAGGTTCTTTTATGAATCTTTGGTGACAAACAGAAGACCAATGTTCCACCATGTCTTTCTTGCTTCCTCCCAAATGTTATATTTACCTAAAGTTGTATTCTCATCTAGCATGGAACCTCTCCCTGTTGCACTAAATAGTGGAGCGCAAGATAACCTCCTTAAGCTAGCTTCAACCTCAGTGGATCTTTTGATAGCAATGCTTTTGTTGCTTGACGCAAATTTTATTTAAACATGAGATCCTCTGCACCAATTCACCTAGCTAATTGAGGCTAAGCAAACTTCCTTCGACTATACAACATTGCCTCTTATTTGCAAAGAAAGAGGTGCTCTATGCTATTACTGAACAAAAGTGTTCGTTCAAATCCATAATCAAGTGCCTTTTAGGATGCGTTTGGGGCAGCTTTTTTGTTGTGGCGCGTTTTGAAAACACTAAAATCTCGTTTTAAAATCACTGTGTGGCAGCTTATTGGAATAATTTCATTAAACGCGGAACACATGCCCGACCTCGCGGCCGACGTATCTTTGATTGGCGTATTATGGAATTGTGTGGTGTTTTAATCCCCTACCCCGCTCCTCCCTCGCATCTCTACCCTAAATTCTTGCCCGAATCGAGATGCTGGCCCTAGGCGACTCCTCTCCCGCACCTCTGCCCTAAAAAACTCCTCTCCTCTGCATAGCTCCCCTTACTCCTCTCTCACGTCTGTTCTCTGGGTAATTGCTCCTCTCTCGTAGTGGGAAAACGGCTTCGTTGTCTTCTTGGTTAGTTCCTCTTCCTCTCCATTGTCCTCTGGTAACTTTTACCCTCTTTTTTTTTCGTTATGCACATTTTTTTTTACAGTTTGTGTCTATGAGCCACACGGCTTGCTTTTTCCGAGTTATGGCTTTGCTCTATGAAAAATTATTAATATGTGCTTTCAAATGGGGGCAATGCTTGGATCGTTGTGTTATCATATTATTAATTATTATTTTAATAATATTTTCTTTAATTTTAATCGCTGTGTTACTCACTATTTTGTGATGTGTCTGTTTTTATGTTGTGGCATTCAAAGTAGAGATTTATTTTCAATTATGAAATGTGCTAGCAGGATTGGTTCTGTTATAAACAACACTATACTATAGGGACAAAAAACTCATTTGTTCAAAAACAGCTGTGCTCAGCACAGCTGTTGTAAAACTGCAATAACATACAGACATTCAGCTTCGGTGTAGCAGTTTTTTAATAAGTTGCAGTTGCACCAAACAGACCCTTAGAAATAGCACTATGTGAGGATTAAAATGAAGCCAAATCACTAAAAAAAATGCAAATTAACTCATTACTTTCTGTAGAAGAAACTTGTTAAAAATGTCTTAGTCAAAAATGAGCCTACGATGTCTCTCACCATATGAAACCCAAGAAGTCATGGTGAGCTCAGGAAGCCATCTCCACTATCAAAAAATCTAGAAGGAGTTCCTACAATAAATTATCGACCAGTTATCCAAGATAACACAAAAAGGTCACAAAGCACTACAAGATTTGCTAGTTTTACAGTAATATCCTTCAACATTCCAGTTAACCTCTCGATCCTCTCATTTCTCCATGCTCATTCGCCCTCCTTTCTCATTAAATCTTGGCAGCGTTGTTTTTTGCTCATAATCATACCAGTTCACAATGGGAGTCCAAGCAATAGCTCTAGCCAATCCAACTAAATAAGCAATCATTAATTTCTTTTTGTCTAATATCTTCACTCAATTTTACTTGCCTCCAACCATCACCAACAACGTACCATAATTTTCTAGTGAAAAGCTAGTTGAATTCAATGCTAACAATGGCATGAATCTCAAGTTCTACATTATCCATCATCCAAAAACCAACCAATCAAGTCAAGAAA